CCCGGCTTGTTTAAAGCTAGCCAAGGCATCGCCACCGTGCAGGGCAGCCGGCACCGTACACGCGTTCCCGGCATAACGAAGCCTGCGCCTTTGTGGTATTTTTTCAAGTCTCAAGTTGTATTTGAAGGGAGAAAAGCCGTCACCCCTGGAATCTCTCCCTCTTCCCCTTTGCTCTTTTCCCATCACTGCCTTAATCTGGCCGGGGCGCCTCTCGGATCAAGGCGACACGGATGGAGTGCTCATCTGGTAACGACTGAAGCACGCTTGACCATTTTCACTCCAAAGACCTCTCCTACTGTCAGATTTCATAACCTGATTACTACAGACTTGGGTTAGATTCAGACAGATCGCCTACCGGCGAAAGGCTCAATATCCCATTATCAGATTTGTGAGCCCGCCATTCCTCTTCATTTAGTACGTAATAGAAAGTGTCAGTAATGTCCTATGGACTTAGGCTTTAACGTGAGTCTTAACTATGTGAGTCATATGTATGTATCAGGTGAAAATACTCTACAGAATCATCTGCAGGACAACAATTTTAAAACATTTTTTATTTAAATATTAAATAAAACACATCGACTAATCATCTTGGTGTACACCTCTCATTTTAACATAAGAAATAAAATGATTGTTCAGTCATGATAAAAAATAAACTATACATCTCAATTAAACCAATCACGTAGTGTCTTTAAATACCCTATTGCATTGCAGTCTGCAGAACAGCACTGTCGAGATATCTACAAAAAAACCCAAACGTTTAAAATGACCTCTTTCTGCTCCAGCAATAATTCCAAAGAGGTTCTACAGCAATTGGAAAAAAAAAAAACAAACCTATGAAAGTAAAGTGCTTGTCATTGCTCAGGACAGGAAACAAAAGAATCTGTGGCCTTTTGATCCATGGCATTAAAGAAAACAAACATTGAAGAGGAAATTCTGCGTTTTCAGTATGTGTGCTACCCCTTACAAAACTGAAGGCAAAGTTGCTGCTTTGTAGCAAGCTGGCTTCTTCTTGCCCTCCTCTCCAGCCATCTCCACGCAATCTGGGTTTTGGGTTGGTTTTTTTTGTTTTGTTTTTTATTGAAAACCACTACAAATGAGCATGAGACTTTGGTGTTTTCTCTGCTGCAAGGCACCACTCGTTAACAGATATTCCACTCAAGCGATTTTCTCTCACTTTGAAGCTTCCAGACCACGTAGCAGCAGTGGCAAGCTGGAGATGCACCAATACAGACACACAGATAAAGAGGTTGTTCATGGAGAGCCACAGACAGAGCCATGTGACATCCTCAACCCTTCCGACTCCCACCAATTAACCTGGTCGATCTTTGGCTTTTTTTCTTTTTTTAAAAAAACAAAACAAACACAAAAACAGGTATCTACATTATTTGCAAATGCGTAATACTGCAGGTTGCATGAAGCCAAGGTAACTTGAAGGCACCCTGTGTCACGCCAGGGAGATGGGTCCTTTAAGCATTTAGGCAGAATGCAGCTATTTTCTGACATTCGGATGGCAGCTTCCAGCCAGGCTGGCTCACTGTCTGCTCACCTGCTTCCAAAGTTTGCACACCCTACCCTATTCATTCCCGTAGGAGCACAGTCTGTTCTCCCCTTTATACCTCAGCATAACTTCTGATACCAACGGAAGTCATGCTCTGCCTTGGGAGGGGAGTGGGGTTTATACCAGAAACACAATATAAGCATACTACAAAATATAAAAAATAACTAGTGTTATACAGTTTTCTGCTTCCTATTTATATACATATACAGCATTAAAAACCATACCAAAAAAACACCTATCTAATCCAAAACCTCATTTTGCTAATATGCCAAAAACAAACCAACCAAAAACAAACACCCAAAGATTGTGCTGTTTTACTCACTTTTAATACAGTTTTGTTCAGAGATAGCTGTACTCTGTTAGAGCAGAATTCTGTTCTAGCCTGTTCCTTTTGTCTTTGTCAGTATATAATTATAACCTCAATATTGCACATTTCCCCAAGAGTCAGTTCTGTTTGGACCCTGATAATGAAATGCATAAAAACGTAATTAGCAGCGGAAATAACAATGTGCAGCACTAAGAAATACCCCTCGGGCAACTTTGTAGGCAACCTCCAAGAGGGCTTTTTAAAAGAGAAAACCCTTCCCATCGCCCCACCGGTGCTAATGCTTCCCTCCTCAGTGCCTCTGCAAGAATATGAAAAAACTTAGCATTTATAAAAAGATTCCTAAAGATTATTCAGACCGACAAAATATATGTGTGTGCACATGCGTATATATGTATATGCACACACACCACCCCCAAACAAACATCACTGCAAAAGACCAGACAATTATGCAATTTGGATTCTGATATCAAGGGATACATTTTCAATAGCTTACTTGCTTCCGTACTAATTAGAAGTGGTTTTTTTTAAGCTTTTCCAGCTGATGTATCAAGCAAGAAGTTCACAGTTTTCATTTAAAGTATATGTATCTGGGAGGCGTGGAATGGGGATGTTGGTTCCTTTAAATAAAACGAGTGTTAACAGCAGAAAAAAAAACCCCAACAACAAATGGCAATGCTTCCATTTTTGTCTTCTATGAATGCATAATGCTGCATGCCACTGGTTTTCTGTTTATTTTCTTTAAAAGAGGTAATCATCTTCACAAACCCATAAATGAATATTGTGAAAAAGGGAGGCTCTGGTCCCTTCTTTGAAAAGCCTCTCCCTGCTGTGTCACCACTACTGACAGCTGCTAATCTTGCATAACAGCAGAGCTGTATTGGTCTGACTTGAGTACAGTACCGAAGAGTTCTTCCCCAACCACATCCCTCCCTGTCCCCACAAATGCCCCACCCATCTTCCCCATCATTATTTTTCCTTTAAAAAATTCAGTTTCTATTCATATTTGTTCAGTGCAAGAATAGTAGAAGCAAAAAGACATACATATTGCTTGTTTCAGTTCTATAAAGTTGCTAGCTTTCTGAGCCAGACAGCCTCTTCACATACTTCAAAATTTATTGCTTCTGAGAGTCACTCGTCCACACGACACCAGCCAGCCATGGACCCACACACGCCATGGAACAGTGGTGAAAGTTCTTCGCAACAAGAGCAGCGCGAGCTATAGCAGCCGGGGCTCTCATTTGACTAGGACAAACTTCCCTAGCTGGTTGGAAGTCAGGTCCTCCATCTCACAGTCCCCGTGCTGCAGAGTGACAGCATCATAGCTTGGAGACTGTGCAGAGAAACCCTGTTGCTGAGAGAAGGTGGTGCTGACTGGAGAGACGTTGCTGCTGATGTACAGGTGCGTGTCTAGAAGGTGAGCTGCTGAGGACACCGGTGACACGCTGACACCAAAGAAATGAGGTTGGAGCAGTTGGCTGTTGCCAGCAAAGGCCAGCTCAAATGAGTTCTCTCTTTGTAGCTCTGACAACAGAAGAGAATTGGATGCTTTGCAGGTACCTATGCTATCAGAGGAGGGGACGCCATTTGTTGCAGATGTCTGAGAAGTCTGGGGACAAGCTGTCTGGAGTAGCTGGTGATGCTGGAGCTGGAGCATTCTGAACAAAATCCAAGGATGGAAGAGGTTAACTTGCATTCCTCCTTTCTTGCCCCCACCCCGACCATAATTTCCCCTTTGTTTCCTCCTCTCTAGCAAACCTCTCCTTACCCAGCCAGTACAATTAAAGCAAGCTGATCGTGCCAGGTCAATGTGTTTTCACTCGACTTTTCCTCATGTTGGAGAGGGCGACTATCACCAGAAAGTTATCTAGACACCACTTGGCCTGCTAATAATAGATGTTCTAGAGACAACGTGTGCAGATAAACCGGAAACTCAATTTTCCATCTTGCTTCTATGGGAATGAAGAGGTGCCACCACACATGACATTTGAGGCCACTGGAACTGAGCCTCCTTTGTGGGCTGTAACTTTTCCAAATTACAAGGTCTCACTTCCTTGCCATGGGAAAATTACAGGAGGAGGCAGAGGAGGAAAGAAATCATTCCCAAAACTAACAAAGAAAAACACAGCTTGCAATGGGGAGAAGTAATGTTTTCCCCCACAATACCAAATTGCTTCTCAATTCAGCAACCTCCAAATAGTTGGACGTCGAGATTTTTAAGTGGAACTGCACATCCTGTGTTACGTATGCCAGCGCAGGAAGCCACAAAGGAAGCCAAGCAGTTTATCTGCTGCCACACTGCAAAGATGGAGGATAGGAATCCCCAGTGACTAAACTCCCCAACCTCTTTTGCTGTGTTTACTCCTCCTCGCTTGCCCCTAACCAAAGTAACCCCAATGAAAACAGCAAAACTCCTCCCGACCAGCTTCTCACCTCTGCTGCTGTAGCACCTCCTCCAGGAGGCTTCTTCCCTCTCTGCTGCTCCCGCTGCTGCTGTACATGCAGGTGTTCGGCTGCGTGTGTTGGAAAGGGCTCATGGCACTCCTTGCTGCCCGAGATGAGGAGGACTGACACACCTGCCGAGCAAAGCCTTTGATTTTATTCAAGCCGAGAAACCCCTTGGCTCGAGCGTTCTTCCGCAGCTGCTGCCTAAAAGCCTTCAAGCCTGTGGGACACGAGGAAAAGAAATGCACTTTAATCCTCCTCAGCATTTGCCTAGGAGCCCACTTTACAGATCAGCCTTTCTGCACAGCTGCCTTCATTTGCGCGAGAACTGTGCTAGAAGAGACTGTCACTCTTCAGTCCACTTTCCCCCCTCTGCCTGATGGTCAGAGCAAAATTTATGTAAAGGAACAAGGTTTGGGACAGCTGCACCCTTGTGTAGAGGGACACATGCACAGCAGAGGAGAAACCTGATAGAAATCATGACGTTGTGCACTCCGTATTTTAAGAGGAAGGCGGAGCCTGCCATCCCACGCACAGCAGCAGAAATATCTTCATGGGCTCACTGAATCAGTATCTGAGAACCTCTCATCTAGGCACCTTCCTCAGGGCATCCGACCCTCCGTCAGGGACCATGAATGCGAGAGGCAGAATATCCGGGTGGCCAGCCTCAGTGTAACACTAACCAAGGCAAGCAAGTATCCCTGCGTGCTACCCTTTTCTAGTGGCAGTTGGAAGGGTGCAATTCCCCAGCAATAATGCAAGGAAGACATTACCTTGAGTTAATGAGGTATCAGATGCTCGCCTTCCTTCTTGGAAGCTGACAGGCAGGAGAGAAGCACCTCCCATGCAGCCCTGGGCTTGTAACACCGGAGCGTCAGACTGGGAAGCTAGGAAGGGCGATGTCATCCTAGCTGTGGCTGGGCTCCCCGTCATTACTTGACCTGCCAAACAGCTGCTCAGGGCCACTGAGCTGTCATTTGAAGATGAAGTAAGGCAGCTGTCTGAACTAGTTCCCTCGGTGGGGCTTGCAGAAGAGGAAATGACTATACCTATGGAGGGGAAGGAAGGAGAGAAAGAGCATTCCCAAGATGAGTACGGCAAGGAACAAACATGACATCAGAGCCTTCTGCCCACCTACACTGGCACTAATAAGCAGCTGTGAGCCGCAGAGGTGTCCAGCAACTCGTGTTGTCACAGGGCTTGACTCCAGCAAGGAGTCACCAATGAATAACCTAAGTTTGGGCTCCCATTCAGCCGACAGGGCTCTGCCAGCAACTCCAGCACCACCAGGGTATGCTGGATCAGGCCTACAGCGTTTCTTTAGCACAACAGCTCTGACATGGGATTATTGTTTTGTGAACCATTTCACTTGTTTGTTTAGTTCACGGGGCCTGGACATGTACCAAATACAGTTAGCCATGACCTTTTTTTTTTTTTTTCCTAAATTCAGGCACCCCCACCTCCCCCGGTACAACAGTGGAAGCAAGCAGAGAAGGGTTATGTTCTGCTTGTGAGAATGCTCCCCTCTAAAGTCATCTAGATGAAACACAACAATGCAACATCTCTTCCTTAAGGGTCACGCTTATTTATGGGAAGACAGAACTGTGGAGGGCAGAGTACAGACCTCTCTTCTGTGCTTTCCTACCCCAGCTGAGGTAAAATCAGCACATGCTCACCAGGCATTTGTCTGCTATGGCACTCCTTCCCTGTCCTTTTCCTCTAACTATGGATGCCCTTCATCTCTCCCAGACTTACTTACATGGAGGGGCATGCTGATAGAAATGAGTGGTCACTTCGGCCAGTGTGTGCCTCCTGCTGGTGTTGCTAGGGATGCGGATGGGGTGGTCATATGCCTTAATTTCGTCTTCCAGCTCCTTCTCTTGCCTTACTTCTTCACTAATGGTGGTCTCCAGCAGGCTGTTGGGGGAGATGGAGCGGTTGCGGAAAAGCCCGTTGAAGTTGGGATCCACAGGAAAGAACACAGGCTGCAAAACATGTCAGATCACAGACTGAAGGGTGTTTCACTTATTTCTGCACTACCTTTTAATGCTCTTCACAGCCCTGTGGCATGTCTTCAGTAGGCGTACTGTTTGAGAGACTACTACGACACCATACCCAAATGCCAAACCAAAGATCGGAAGGAGAGAAGGAGAGAACAACAGTCACAACCCCTGTTGTTTTGGATTGGCAGAACAATGAAAAAAAAAAAAAAAAAAAAAAAAAAAAAAAAAAAAAAGTTTATCTAAGAAAGTAACACACAGTTTAGCTGAGAACACCAACCTGTAACGGATTGCTCACATCACAGTCCATTTCTGCCTGCAAGGATGGCTGAATCAGGCTCTGAGGTTGCTGGTAAAGCAGAGATGATCGCAGGGTTTCACTACTGAGACTGTCCTGAGGCATCTGGAGAGAGAGAGCAATGCACAGAAGCTATCACAAACACTGCAGTTCCACATGACTTTTCAGATACTGGAGGCTCAAGGAATTTCAGAGCCACCTTCCGTGCAAGCTTTCTCCACGTACTTTCTATGAAAATTAACAAAGCTAGTCTTTCAATGCCAACACAAACACAAAACTCCTTCTCCTAAGTTAAGCAATTTAACTGGAAGTACAATTTGAAAAGGCACCCAGAGCACACTTTAAAGGGGGCGGGGGTGAGGAAAAGAATGTCAGAAAAACACAAAAGCTGACTCTCGGAGTACTTCTGAGGAACCTATGGGGTGTGTAACAAAGAAGTGTAACTGATCCATGCTTAAGAGCACAAATTTCCATGAGAAGCCCAATCTTCTGGCTCATTATTGACCTGCACCGGAGGCAGCCTATTCTTTGGACCATGACCCACAGTCACTTCTTAGGAAACAGGCCATTAGTATTCAATCAGCCATAATTTTACTCAAATATCGTTTATACTAGCAAATGGTTTATACTAGCAAATGTTTGTCTGCATCTGGCAGTGGAAAAAAATTGCCATAACTGCAGTTTGTACTAATATCTTTACCAATCATACCACTACTTGATCTCCATGGTAGAGATATCTGGTAAGTCATCCAAGTTAATCCCCAGAAAACATGTTAGTGCTTCTGCTCATGAAAGGATTATTCTTGTAATAAACAGACTGTTGGTTTTTTTCTGTTAATTTTCATTTTAATTATTGAATAGCATTACTCCAAATACAACACTGGAAAAGCAAGAGCCTTTTAGGAGACTTCAGGGCTTGTATCACACAATTCTCATGTTGTTAACACATTTGGATTCAGTCTGTGAAATGGTCCGTTTGGACCAATTTACTTTATTTGTGAATTGAAGTGCTAAGGAAGAGAAACTCTTAAGTATACAGGAAGATCCATGCTCTCACTGAATCCCTATTAGCAAGAGAGAGTTGGCAAGAAAAACACCATACATGACAACTCTGTAGTTACTTCTAAATTTTTTCCAGAGTTGCCACTTCCCAGTACAAGGACTCTTGTGTGCTCAAAGTCTGCACTCTTTGTTCACACATGCATGACCATGCATCTGGATTGCTCATCTACATCACTGCTTTCTCCTGTGCCACACTGGTGTCATTATTTTGGAATCATGTTTAGTACCTGGGTCTCCATGTACTAAATATGAGGAAGAGTTCAACTATTAAAACTTCCTTATTTAGAGTTATAAGTCATATAGAAGTGATCATTACTCAGACATGAGCTGCAAATGTACAATACCACCTACAAATTGATGGGACTATTTCACTTAACTTTAGCTGCCTAAAAGTTAGGTGTCTAATCTGGTTCCACATTATCCCTCTATACTCAGTGAAGCTCCACAGTTGCTTCCAGACAGCAGATACCTTACCCAGGATAAGTATCAAAGTTAGGCCAGTGTAAAAGACCTGAACAAAGACCTGAACCTCTACCCGAAGATGACTCTACCTCTTCATTAACTATAGCAGAAGCCTAGGCAATAAATTAAGGCTCATTAAATAACACTTGGACAGCTAAAATTAGGTCAAATGACTCCCATCCTTTCTGACAGACCTCAGCTCAGAAGCTTCCCACAGAAATCACTGCTACTCTAGCCAGTGTTGCCACCATGCTGTGCTGCAGCTTCTGTTTGTAGTCTTTTATTTTTCATCCTTATCTTAGTTCTTGTAGTTCCTGTGATGCCTTCAAAATCTCTGATTTGTCAGTACCACTTAGATCCAAGAGGCTGTGACTCACATGCAGCAAATGGATCCTGGCATACAGAGTGTTATCAGCTTCACAATTCCCCTCAGGTATGAACATTCCTATAGTGCTTAGGGTACTGACCCTCTCAAGGTTTTACTCAGCAACAAAGCTATATTTTCTGCATTATTTCTTTTGTCTCAGTGTGCATGCTGAAGTATGAGGTTCCCCGTTATGCATCATTAGCTTTTTCATCTTCTTTCAGGACATGGAAATTTTCTGTTCTCCTATATTATCAGCTACGTTGAGCTAAATTGAGGTCTGACCTATGTTAAAATCAGTTATCCAGAATCTAGAAATCTTCTAGTGTCTCCAAGGCATCAGGGTTTTCAGTTGATGAATATATATTCACCTAATCTGGCCTTCCAGATAGCTGAACAAGTACTTTGTGGATCAACCACAACCTCTTTTACTGTAACACAACACTTATTGGCTTTGCTGATTACTTCCCCTTAAGAGTGCTTTGGAAAAGAAGCAATGCATGAAGACAACCAAACAACTCTCATTCCCCTCCTCCCCTCCCTTGACATACAGCTATCATTGAGATACCAGAGACACTTGCTGGGGCCTATAACAAACAAGCATCCATTTATCTTCTCTTGCATTTCTTTTGGTAATATCTGAAAAAAGGAAATAATCACTTAATGTAGCTCTGATGCCAAAACAATATCCCAAAATACAGGTCCATATACATAAATACCTTAACATTTTCTGGCACGCATCTAATTTATGTTTAGTGGACATGAAACGTGCATGGAGAACTTTTCTTTTTCAGTGCATAGGTGATGCAGGGAGGGATCTTACAGATATTAATTTCTTCCTCTTTCCCAAAAATAGTCACTTGAGGATTTTGGACCTAGAGTACTTTTGCAAATTTTAAAAGACTAAATTACTGTGCTAAAGGGAGGATATTGCCCTTCCAAATTACCATTTTTTCTTAGAAAAAGTAATGTAAAGATTCTTTAAGGTCACTGTTTTCCATCAGGATTTCCAGTAGATTCACACCTTCACAATTTTTTAATGCCTGCTCCAATGCTCAAGTTTGTTCTCATGCTACGAAACATGTTTCTGTCTATGTATCTGTGGTGCAATAAGGACTGAGGATAGTCCTCAGCTCAACACCTTTTCTGACTTTTCCAACTCTGTCGCTTTCTGCTGAGAAAAAGTTTTCCTAGGCTTTCCCCACTCCAGAGGACTTATACTACACCACAATATCTCTAATCCTTAAATAAAGGTATTGTGTTTCTCTGTCACCAGGAGAGAGTATTCACTAAGACTGAGATTATCCCTGAGAAGCCAATTTCTCCAGACTGCCCCAACAGTCAATGGAGAAACAGACTTTGGCCAGAGGCAAGCAAGAGAAGTTAATTTGGTTCTTCTGAATCACTCTTTGTAAAAACCTATGGGTTTCCACTGCTGAGAGTCTAGGGAGATTAGCCTCACTAGGCTAAAACAGTTTTCATGAATACCCTCCAAAGCATTTTGGAAGCTCCTGACAAGTTTGTCTTTCCTTCAAAATGCTGTCCAGTTGATTTCAAAGAAAAATGCCCTTTACATCATTTCACGTTGTGTGCAGTCACCTCTGTCAAATAACCCTGCAGCCTGCTTGGGTAACCATCCCTATTTAGCTAATATATTGTTACATCCTCCTCATAGCATGCAGTCTGTTGGCCCCTGAAGAAAGCCTCAGGCCTTTGCAGTTTTAACTGCCTGATGCTTTGGGAGCTGGGAGAGGAAATGCGATTGTTCCTGTACTGTATTTATGTTGGTCAACATTCCTGGAGTTCAG